GGCATTTATGAGGAGGTGACAGCATTAGAACATGGCTTAAATCTCACAAGAGTCAGTGTTCGTAATATAGGACTTTTAACACCAACATCTCAGACAACATCAGCCAATTCAGTAGCTAGTAAAGTATGGTCAGTGTGCTTGGCATTTAAGTGCTTTCTAAATCCAGAGAAGGAACCTACATAATCCAATCCTCAACACATCTAAGGCAAAGGGTTGTCTCTGGAAGAAACCCATGAAACTGTTTAATATGACTAACAAGCATATTTGAACTCAAACTCAGCACAGCAAACAATGCACTTCATAGAAACATGAACGTTAATGAAGTAACCTTGCTCTTATTTCTGCAATACGAGGTATCTCCCTCACCTTGCTGACATCAATATTGTAAATTGTGGTCTGAATGAATGTGTACATGTTGTACAACATGGTGTGGTATGATGTGCACAAAAAGTGTCTTGAACAACTCAACACTTAAAGAAAAGTTAGACATACAGGGGATGAGTCTTGTCCAGGATAATGAAGTACTGGCTGATCCTGTTCCTTTGGGTACCAAATGCAAGGCGAGTGCTTCAAGTGATATTGTCGAGATGCTCTTCAATACTTGTGCCACACTGAAAAACAAAGACAAGATGATTAGTTTTTAAATAATAGCATAAAAGTGATCTGTAGACAGAAATAAAATGGAGGCAATTCTGCACGCCGGTTAATGACATCATAATAATGATTAGAAACAAACATCAATTTCAATGATATGATCAAGAAACTCTGCACACCTTCTTGAAGACCACAAGATGTTTTTCTGCTTGAGATTCTGACATCTTCTCCATTTTATTACAGCCTTGAGCAAGATGCAGCAGAAGCAGCAAAATTGAAGCAAATTCACTAAGCCAGCCTTAAAACAAAAGCACACAATTACTTTACTTAAAAACAGAGGTTAGTTTTGAATTGAGTTTTAATTCTCATGTGACATTTGCATATTAACAAAGAATTTGAAAAGTTAGCTAATAACTTACCAAAGTCAGCACCACCAGCATCATCCTCCTGAGGATCTGCAGCCATTTTTGTTTGTTAATTGATTTGAGGGAGGAGCCTCGTACTCTAAAAGGGGGACTCCCATCTGCACAGGGGCAGTGTGTGTTTTGAGAAGGAGAGTTGTTGCACCGCAGGCTCCAGCTCAGGAACTTTTGAAGGACTACCACAGCCTAAACCACGACAAAGTGTTCTTTCTTTTTATTGATTGATAAAATAACACATTTACATTTGTAAATTTAATTTTATCTCCCCCTTGAACTGCAACTTTGGTGGCAAAGTTTGCATATCTGAATGATCCTAGGCACTCTGTTGGCTGGGGTTGGGTCTTCCTTGGCAAATAGGTCCTAAGTGAAAGGTCAGGCTAAGAGCAGTTCACATATCTCCTATGTACAGAAAACAAGTTGGGGCTCCACCCTGGAGTCAGACTGGGGGGTTGGGGCTGGAATGTGAGCATTGGGTGACCAGCCTCATCAGACTCTTCCTGCAGAGGGACCAGACAGGTCGGGTGCTGCCATCATATGTGGCAGCAAATGTGGCAGAAGGTCTTTCAGAGGAAACACTTTGAGGGAATGAACCATTTAATCACCAACTAAAACACCAGAGCAAAGTAAGAATGAGACCTTTCCTGTTCTGTTCACCTGGTTCCCCCCAAGACACTGCTGTGATGCTGCAGGACACACAGAAGGAACACTTTTGGCTCTTCCACAGGATCTGCTGACCCTCCCTGACCAGACTTCCTGTTAAACTGCACTAAAGTCTGCAACTGAGACAAAAAAGCCACTGAGACACACAACATAGTAACACATTCACCGCGCAGTAACACCAACTGCAACAGTTTGCTGCAACAAAATTTTTATTTCCTCCAGGATGAATAAAGTATCTCTCTCTTAAGAGGACTGGCCTCGACAACCCAACCCGAGGCGTTCCCAGGCCAGCTGAGAAAGGGTGGTTCTCAAAGCCTAGGCACCCTGCCATAGCAATTGTCTTTCCTCAGCCCAACCAGACGGCTAATGGAACAGGTTTAAGACAGAAGGAGCAGCAGCAGCAAAAGAAATGCTTATATATTCTTTTGTGGATAAAACATTAAAAGAAAGCATATTTTTTTCATATGATGTGCAAACATTATATATATATATATATATATATATATATATATATATATATATATATATATATTTTTTTTTTTTTTTATTAACATATTCAATGTTATTATTTCTCTTCTAGATTCAAGTCTTGCAACATATTCAGACACAGTTTCTCTTCCATTAAAACAATTCTGAAGTCTGAGTCATCGTCACTAAAAGAGCTGAGCTTGACTGTTGATGATGACCCTGTTTCTGACGAGGAGGATCTTGACCACATTGGAAAATGTCACCTGGACATTACTTTTATACCACAAGAGGAATCGGACGACGATGAATATTATGATGATTACGGAGATGAATATGAAGAAGATTATTACAATTATCTATAAGTTGCCTATGACTTTTCAGACGATGAAGATGCCAATTTAAATGATTACGATGAAGACAGTCATTAAGCTAGTGTAAACTTTGACTACGACTGTGTAAACAATGACTATGATGATGGTAATGCAGATGATGCTGATTGATATTATGACTGGTGCTCATGACTGTGTAGTATATGCTGTATTTCACCTTTCATTAAAGAGGGTCCAGGGACATACCAGGGTCACACAGTGCACACATTAACAAAGACTGCAAAACCTTTTAAGATTATATGAAAACTCAAGAAAAAATAAATACCAAATGGATTTAAACAAAACATTTTCAGGAGCCTGTCATCAATATGAGCATTCCTGTTGTCCTGTTTAGGTGTTTGATTTTCAAGAAAAAAGTGAGAGATACTAAGTTCAGTTACGACAGAGACTTAACTAACTTGTTTATACACAAATCATCTCAGCTGCTGTAATTTCAACCAAGTCACCTGTTGTAGTTCCAACTAAGTCAGCTTTCTAGTCAGACTGTGTTAAAGATCAGATTAAGTCTAATTTAGTGCGTTCAGAACGTTGATGACATCAGCTGCAAAGTATCAATGGGGCAATAACAAACAGCTGGGCTCGACATTAACGGTTTTCCACCAGTCCGGGGCAATTAAAAGATTTGTCCAGGAAGTGCTCTCCTCTAACTAGTTACCCAAGCGGGCAAGTGAAAAAACACAGACACAGTCTAGACCACCATAAATAATAACACATTGTTTTGTTTGGTTTTGTTTTTCGCTGTTAACTTTTGCAGTCTTTACTTTACATCTTTTCTGTATATTAAGATAACGTTTAACCATCACTTCCGCTCAGCTTCTTAGAAACGGCAGATTTGAGATGGGTCAGTAATTTTCCAGCACTCTGGTATTTTCTTTAAAAGATGCTTGATGACCACCACAGTTTTTAAAGCTCTTGGGAATGTTCCAGATTTAAGTTTAAACATGTTAATTATGCGAATGAATGGTGAAAGTAAAACTGTTGAGGACGAACTTTAAAAATCTAGTGGTAACACGTCGTGGCAGCAAGTAGATGAACTCAGACTGGTGACGACCTCTAAGACAGTTTTGTCAGTTACAGGTGCAAAGTGTCTCTGTGGCTGCAGCTTGTTATTTGTGTTGTGGAATTGATGCCACTTTTGATGCTCTGAACTTTGTCATTAAAGAAAACTGCAAACTCATTATACTTAGATGTGGAAAATAGTTCTAATGGCAGTGGAGCTGGTGAGTTTATTCATGTGTTTATTGTGTTTACTGACATAAACGTTGTTACTGCAGTTCCCAGTGTCAGAAAAATAACTCTCCCTTATTCTACACAAACTGTGGATACAGATGTGCATCTTTTCTCTGTAAATCTCATAATGAACCTGGAGGTTTGGCTTGCTTCCCTCTGGCACAGGAGGGTTCAAATAGTGCTCTGGAGAGTTACTTAACCATACACAAATGACTGAGAAAACCAGTTCAAGCATGATTTTGATAAGGGAACAAACAAAAAGTTGATTTAGCATAAAAATCCCCTCTTTATGTCTTTAAACCAGGTACAATTTTGTGTCATGTCTACTAAATGCAAAATGTGCATTTGGTTTAGTTTATTTTGAGTTTATGGATCAAAGTTAATTTTACAATGTTTTACATAGAGGTTATGCACTTAAATCATTTTCATTTGAAAAATTTCTGGTCACTTCCCCTCAAATTCCATTTGTAATGTTTATTTCTACCTGATTGCAGTGACTGTTATGGTTTTGCAGGTTTGCCCACTGTACATAGGTCACCATTTTATCTATCTTTGTGTGAAAGTAAATTTAATGGGAAAACCAACTTTTGCATGTGTAAAATAAATTACTTTGACTTTATCCCAGGCTCCAGGTTCATGATTTCTATCATCTCGGGCTGCGTACTTTCCCTCCTGAACTTTAACTGCTGCACCTCCAGTAACAACTCTTTTTAAAATGATTGTTCTGATCTGTCTATTTGCCGATTGTGTATTTTTAGTTTGGGCCCTTTAACTGAAAACTAGACGTTGCCCCTAAAGGTCCTGTGCAGTAGTACACACAGTACAAACTCAGCTGGCTGACATGTTACTATGTTGTAATGAGTTCATGGGAGGCATTCCCTGTACGTAAACTATAAATAAGAAATAGAATTCAAAGGTGTTTCTTAATTTTTCAGGTATAAAAAGAATCTATTTTAAGTTATTTTACATGCTAACGTGTGTAGAATCTCTCAGTCGTTCAGGTACAATCCATGGCAAAGGAAAAATTCCATTTTAGTCAACTAGACAAATGTTTATATAGGTCAAAATCATTTTGCAGTTCATCCAAGCTGCTTCTTCAGTTCTGATCAGAATGCTGGTGGACACTTCCTTCAGACAGAGATAAGGCAGTTATAGAACCCTGCTGCCATCTCCATAGTATCCAGCTCTGTAGTGGCACTGCAGAGCAGGAGCAATGATACTTCTTCTTGAAGGGCTGCAGCATCCACATCACTTGCTGGTTGGGTGCAGAGAATGCTGCTGAAAGGAGGAGGGCGATGGGCGATGATTGGAACGCATCCTCAGCATCCTCGTCAACCAGGGTGCAAGTGGGCCACAGTGCGGCGCGGGACACATTTACAGTCCTGAAAACTAAATATGAGTGTAAAGTAAAATATACAAATGATGAATGTAAGCCTATCATGCATAATTTGTGCTGGATATTTTATTTGGCATTAATAAAAACAGTTTAAGCAGCAGACCGTCCCCCCTCCCATACGACGGAGTGGGACTGCACAGTGCGGGAGCGGGCGGGAGCAGGACTTAAAACTGTCCTGCGCAGATCTCTAAAGTGGACCAACCAGGTGCACCCATGACTGAGGGGTAGAATGGGCCCACCTGTTCTCTAGGAGTCCTGCAGTGGGTCGAGAGGCCAGAAGTCCTCCAAGAAAGAACCAGTCCACATTGACACTTCTGGCGAGGAGGGTCGGTTTTGCAGCATGGGCGTTCCAGACGTGCAACAGAATGGCCCCTGATGGGTGTTCCTGTAATCAACCAGTCAGCTTTTTCACTTCTTCTCAATAAAAGTCTAAACTGTCTATGGTCGAAACAAAGTGGCAACACGTGTTAGGAGGTTATCTTCATAAGTATTTTTATTTTTTATTTTTTTTTGAAGTTCCTGCTTTTACTACATGACATTCAGTGACAGCTTAGCGTTTAAATTTGAAGTTCTTGCTTTTACTATATGTCTATGGGTTCAGTGCTAATGTCACTGTTAGCTTTCTTTGACATATAAGTTAGACAGGATGGTGACAGTTCAAACGGGAGGCGGGAGGTGTTTCCTGTAGGAGGTGTTCCCCGTATAGGCAAGAAACACCCATTTATGTCCAGTTATGTTCCCCAAACCGACAGTGTTGCTTATGGTGGCGGTGTGAGAACTGCGGTGTCTGTGCAGAACCACTGGGGCGTCGCCCTCGCAGTGGTGCATCACATGAGAGCTTAGCAGAGGGGTGGGGGCCTGGCTCATCTGGGTGACACTCAGTCCAGGGCTTGTGCCTGTTATACCTGCTGTATGTGCTGTGGTAGGTGGGTTGGGGAACTCTGGACTCTTACAAACCACTATTGTGCTCCCTCCAACTGACCGCTAAGTTTTTTGGCCTTCCGCTGTGGCCCCGGCTGGAGCTAATGCCCTCTAGCCTGATCCGCCTGTGTGGAGTGAGAGTAGGAGAGCGGCTTGAGCCCACAGCGGGAATAGCCTGAGTGCTACCGGTGCTAGTAGCAGATGGGCAAAAGGCGTGCACTGGAGCTCAAGAGGTTTTGCTCTTTTGGGAGAAGTAACGGCCTGGCTACCTTTATCAACATATTTGGGAGCATGTGAAGAGTGCATGAAAATGGTGGTACTCTTGCACCAAGTGTCGCCTCTCCTCACTGGGCCAGCACTTCTGGACATGGGTGTGAAGTCCCCATGGTCCCCATGTGCCTGGTCCTCCTTCTGTCTGGTTCATGGCGGCAAAAACCACACTGTGTGCAACAATAAAGGTACAATAAATGTAATATAGCACTATAAACAATTAACTCAGCACCTAACTCAGGCTCAAACTCAAATTCACTCACTTTGGGCACAGAGCACGTGACTGGGCAACATCTGTCTTGAGCTTCTGGGAACATTTCCCTCTGCAAGAGAGAATGTCACACAAAAATCTGCACATGATGCAGCCAAAGCAGAGATAAACTGATTCAAGGATGTGGGGATCAACTCCACTGGTGGAAGATGAGTATCCTCATGCAGCAGGGGTTGCAAGGCATTTCCTTTGTATCCCAGGTATACGTGTCCCTTCAGAAAGGGTTTTCTCTTCTGCAGGGGACTCTGTAACATCCCCAAAAAGTGTCTTAAAAGCAGGGCATGTTGATCAGCTTGTGTTTCTGCACAAGAATCTTAAAAGAAAGTGAAATTCTCATATTATATTTCCTTGTTCCTGTAGGCATTACATGTTATTTTACACATTGGCTACTGGTTATATTGTACTTCCTGAGTTGAATTAAATTTCAATAAAAAAATAAAATAAAGTTATGGACATGTAATGCATGGACATTTTTATTTTGCTCTTTCATTGTATTAAGAAGAATCTGGATTGCACTTAATTTTCTTACAAATTCAAAATTATTATAATTTTTTTTTTTTTTCTAAGAATCTGTTGAATCTGCAAAAGCTAAAGTAAAATAATAAGTAATTTCAAGAGACCAGTGTGACCAGCATCCAACTTGTTTCTGAAATGGTTACTGGAATTCAAGTTACATTTACTGTTCTCACAATAATAAATAAATAAATAAATAAACTTTATTTCATACAGTTTTGTTCTTGTAAAAGTGTACTTTACCATAACATTATAAATAATTATTGATACATCACAATAAGTATCCTTTGACTGAATATCAGGATATACCGTGATACATCATATCATGACATGTACTGTATATCATGATACATATTTTATTGTATTGACAGATTCATGGCAATGCACACCTCTAGTGGAGATGATGGTGGACATGGCCCCCCTGCCCCCATCACCATGACTGAATCCCTCATCACCTCTTCATCAAGAAGACCCAGCAGAGGACATACTTCCTGTGGAGGGCAGCTGAGGAAAGACAAACTGTCAGCCCAGAAGATGGTGCAGTTCTACACTGCCATCATTAGTTGCATTTTTATCATCTTGTCTTTAATGCACATTTTGAAGATAAGTAACACGAGGTGGAAACGGCAACTTATGCATTTAGAACCCTTAGTAAATTTTCATAAAAGTTTGTTTGGTCACTTCAGGAGGATTTTGATATAAGAGCATAACAGCACATTTTGGAAGGTTGAAATACATTTCTCCATAGGTGTGTTTTTATTGTTAACCACAGTGTTACTTTGCTTGGTATGAAGAAAGAAAGCTTTCAAAAATATTCATGTGCATAGAATAGAAATCCGTGCATATTTGGCTGTAGTTGCGCATAAAATAAACATTTGTAAACTTTCAAATGAGTCCAGTCGTACATAAAATAGATTATGTGTGTATTTTATCCATCAGAATACGAATTGAAAAGTTTACGACGTCAAGAATTACAATTACGAAATGAAAATTTACAATTACACTTTCATCAGTACGAATACAAATTCACAGATGAGACTTTACTGTCAAAAATACATCATCACTTCACAGACATTATTTATCGAGCAGAAGAAACATCGATCAAGATCAAGACTGTGCATGTTTAAGTTTGTAGCAGAGTAAAAACAGAGTAATGGCACAACAAGGAGCTACAACAGCGACCAACAAGTGGGTTAATTAAAATCTATTGTAAAATGTCTTGTCTTGCCACATTGAATTCTTGAACCAAACGCTGCTGTGTGATATTGTGTAGAAACACCTCCTCTGAACGGGAAACTGCACCTGTATCTTAGTAGAAACAGAGTGGAGCCAGTTGGTGAACATCAGACGTAACATTATCCCAGGGCTCATTAGCAAATATCAGGTTCTCTGCATGTTTAGATTAAAACATTTACTGCTACAGCCACAGCGAGCATCAGCCAGTCTGAACCTTCATCTCAGCTGCATTTCTCACATGAAATGTGACCAAAAGTTCCTCAGGACACTGAAATGTCCCAGTTTACACCAAACACCACCAAACTGTCCTGGTTACAGACGTCACAGTCAATGAAATGTTACACATTACAGTTTAATGCAGCTTCCAACATCAATTAATGTTCTTGTTTACAGGCAACACCTTGGTATGTATATTTACCTGTGAGTATAATCCTTACATACTGTTCATTTCTGAAGCCTTCACAGTATGGTTCAGGTCAAATTTGACCTGGACCAAGAATTCCCTCATAGTAAGTGTCTAAAACAAATTTTGAACTACAGATCTATTTAAAATGACTAAATAGACTGTCCTAATAAATATGTGTAATATATAAATACAATGTTTCTGAGAACAGGAAGAGCATATTTTTGTAGAAAAACATCTACTTTCACATGTATCATAGTCCTGTTTTACAAAACACCTGAAAACATAAAAGCCATTATGATTTATATATATATATTATTGCATTTGGAAATGACATGAATATTCTGGAACTGTTGGAATTTATAATATATTCATGTTTATCCACTGCAGCCCTTATGCTTATTTCAAACTAGTCAGTGCATTCAGAGCAGTGGGAGGAAACTTTGTGTGTGTGGGACTGTGTTTCTGTGTTTCTCACATTTGCAGTAGGTTATAACTGTTCTGCAGTTCTTCTTTGCAGGGTTAAAGTTGTATCTCCTTCTCTTCTGTGCCCTTGTGTTGGTTTCTGGTGTGACTTCTTGATCAGGGTCAGGTTCAGATCACTGCACTGGTCTCACCAACGCTGCTGAAGCTGCTGTGAGAGAAGCTGGTGTCTCCTTTGAAAACAGGGAGTCACAAGGCCCTTTCCAAACTCCTCCAGAAAAGAACCTCCTCCAGTTCCTCCTGCTTGGCCTCCAGGTCAGGTTCAGCTCACTCCATAGACAAAGCGGGCCAGCAAAGCAGACCAGCGGGAGGTTCTGCTCTTGCAGCTGTTTGTGCCTGTTACTTTGTCAAGGTTTTCCACTCCTCTTTTCTTGGCATTGTAGTCAAGGATGATGGCTGATGATGATGATGATGATGATGATGATGATGATGATGGAGCTCCCAGGAGCTCACCTCTGCAGCCATATTTAATGTGCTCATAAGAATGACATTCTTGTTCTTCTTTTACATGTACGAGACGACTGTGGTGTCCTGAGTGAACTTACTCAAACTTAGAAGAAAAGATCTCTCTCCTTCTTGATTGACTTGTGTTGCTTATGTGCTCCATAAACAGGATGATCACTCATTTCACTGTTTTGAGATTCTCCTTTGCCCCTTAAAAAACCAACAGGCGTCTGTCTCTGGGAACCTGGGGCATGAGGGAATCTCAAAACAGTGACCTCTTGAACTCTGTCACCACTGTGCCATAAAAAAATACACACAAACATGGTCTGTGCAGTTTCACAGTTTCAAGTTTCTCTATAACTTCCATTTTGCTTCATTTGACCTGCACTGATAGAGCTAAAATCCATCTTAATAGATACGGGTCAAAATTGACCCGAAACAGCCTCAGTGTCACAAAATTTGTCGCACCTGTACAAAAGTATAACATTAAAATATTTTCATTTATGTGTATTTTGGCAAAATTTAGGAAAAGTAATCAAATTTCAGGATAAAAGAATGATGCTTAGGGTATTTTTTCTACTGTTGAAAGTCAAAACGGGTCAAATTTGACCCGGACAGTATGTGAGGGATAACGTCACCGTGTCGTGGTGTGGATGGATTTGTTAGTTCATTATAACTCCTATATAACCCACTGTCTGTATCCAGGACAGTTTGGTCGTGTTTGGTGTAAACTGGGACATTTCAGTGTCCCGAGGAACTTTTGGTCACATTTCATTTCAATTCTGTCTCATACAGAGTGTTGCATAAACACACAGTCACTTGCTGCTGGCACAACACTCAAACCAGTCAAGTCACTTTTAAAAAAATGTTAGTGTAATGTTGCGACCGAGAACCCTTATTTACTCACAGAATCCGTTCTGGCATAAAAAAGGACAAGGGCAATGTGGTATAAAAGTTACACATCTTTATTTAATCTTCTAAACATTTAAAAGAAACATTTCATTTTCCTGGTTCCCTTCTTGATACACCCCTCAAATATCATAAATGTAGGACTCAACAACACCCCCAAACTAAAACACAACAAATCAAATTAATAAGCCAAACCAAACGTTAATACCAAAAAACCAAACACTAGTTGAACCCTACATTTACAATAAGTTAAAGTGCGGGTGCGCTGTAAACCTGAATTATGTAATATTATTTAAAGTGCGTGTGCCAAGGTATCTGAGGTAGACTTTGTTACAATAAAGGGCATAAAAATTAAAGCTGGTGAAAGTGCTCGTGCTGAGGAGGCCTACCTGGGCAAAAGTGACTTGTGCCAACCCTGAGACCTGACCTTGCATTGCACTGACCCCCTGACCAAATATTGCACTTCCCTCCAAGACCTCGGCTACTGTTAATCAATATTCAACTAAAACCAACACTAAGATAAAGAATAAAAAGCAAGAATAATGCAGCAGTGGCAATCTGTTACACAGGGAAAAATAAATTAGCTTCACTTAGCGACCACCGCCCCAGATATACAACAAAAGAGCATTTACCGCAAATTTAGAAGAGGGAGGGGGGCGCTCTACATGGGGCTCGGAGCGCTACGAGCGGCCGCCGGCACCACCGCCTACTCCAGACAACCTTTAAAATGCAGTCAGACACATTGCATCAACGCAAATTCTATCAGAAATATTAAAACAACTCCGGTACTTACACGCGCTGCCTCCAAAAGCCACCGAAAGCCCCGACTGCCTCACCACAGCGTGCGCAGCCTTTTCTAATCGCGCAATCAGTGACGCCAGGAGCCACGCGCAGCGACGCGCAGGTGGACGCACTCACAGACGCAACACAGCAGGACAACATAATCTAATCACCCGGTTACATTCGGATTTAGTTTTTTCTGTTTTCTCCCCGTCCCTCTTTGTTTTTTACAGAGTTTGAGAGTGACAGGGGGCGTGGCTTCTCCCAGAGCAGATGAGACACACCTGCAATCAATTCCTTCATGAGTCTCTGTACAAAGTCTTGGTTTTCTCATCACCGGCTCTGCCAGATCATTCTGTCCTGTTTGGTAGTGCTCAGTGTGCCTCTTGGAAATATATCTGTTTTGTTTGTTGTTTCGGTGAACTTTTGGACTCACCTGCATTTGTCTCTGTCCAGGTCTCTCCGTACAAATAATAAATAAACTGTTTAAATCTTGACAGTGTTCTGGCTCTGCTTTTGGGTCCCTCTAGTCAAACCCTAACAAAAAAGCTGTAAAAATTTTGGACAAGAAACCATTTTCATTTCATCACTGCACTATTTTAGATAAGTATTTGCTTAATTGTAATAATTGTGTTGATTTTAAATATGGATGTTTTATATATAAAGTTCTGTATGGACTTGACCCCCTCCGTTACAGGATTTTATTAAAACAAAGACTGTCAGTGGGAACTAGGACCACGGCCCGGAGGAACTGTGAGCTCCACACAGACGCACCACATTTGGACAAAGTGTGTCTCAGTCAGAGGCACTAAGTTCTGGAACATTCTCCCATTATCAGTAAGCGAGACTCCAACACTGGACACTTTCAAATCCTACTTGAAACTGGCTAAAGAAAAACAGACTGTGGACACGTTTACTTTGTTGTTGTTGTTTTTTTAGTTGTTAAATGTGTGGTGTTTCCTGCTGAGGGAGTACAGATGGAAATTAGCATTTTTGCTATAATCTGTCAGATTTACTCTTATTTAATAGGGACCGTGTAAATACATTAAAGTTAATATGCACTGTCCCTATTAAATAAATAAATATATATTTTTTTAAGTTTATGGTCTGGGTCTCGTCTCAGACTTGAGCACATTTGGTCTCATCTCAGTCTTGATGGAGCTTGGTCTCTGTCTTTTCTCGGACTGGAGGTTTGACACTTGTCGAGTGTGATCAGATTCATTATGGCCTGTAAATGTGCAGAGGCTAAATATCACTGTAAAACCAGTAAGAGAATGTAACTGTAAATGTGATGAACGTGGAAAAAAAAACCCACTCGATTCACTTTGAAGCTGTTTTTAATAAAGTGCCAGTGGAAGTGTGATTAAAGAAGAGGTTCTTAAACTGTGGGTGAGCTGTTTAAGTGTAGAACAGTTTAACCAGATCAAACAGAGATAGATTTATAAAAAAAACACTGATATACACTACCGGTCAAAAGTTTCAGTACACCACACTTTTTCTATTTTTTTACTGTTTACTGTTGACCAAACCGTATTTCAAACTTTTGCTTCATTAGTGAAGCTGTTAACCTGGGAGATAAGTATTATACTCTAGACTGTTTTTTCATAGCACCGTCAGAAGACTACAGACAATATGTAACCAAAGGATAAATACTGTGAATAATCAGAGATACATTTCTTTATTTCAGCCACTTCAGTTATGTTCAGTGGTGAACCCCGTGTAAGGGCTTGTCCTGTCATGGTGTTTTCTGAGCTTCTGAAAGTACCTTCAGTCCATGAATGCTCTGCATGTATATGGACACCACATTTTCAAAAATAAATTTTACAAAAATAAGGCAGAACACCATCACAAATTATGTTAAAAACAGACATCTAGTTTTTCTAAAACAGTCCATTTGATGTTGGTGGGTCATTTTTCTGGTATAACATGGCAAAGATGGCACCAAATGTTTTATTTTTTTTTATTTTTAACACTTAATACCTTGTAGAGCGTTCATCACAGAGGGTCAGTATTAAAATACAAAGTCCACAGTGGCATGTGTGGGAAGGTCAATGTTCAATATCAACCCTCTGTTTTGGAAATTGCACTTTCCACAGTCTTTCAAAGACGCCTCAGATTTAAAGAGGGGAATTTTCAAGCTAATTCAAGCCTCAGAAATCTGTGATAAACCAAAAGCACATGTGTGTTTGACACATTTTAACCCTTGAAAATGTGAAAGGACCAGCCTTAAATTGTTTTTTAGATACAGCAATCTGAAAGTGGCTCCTCGGAAAACTCTGCTCAAAACAGGTCAGGGGGAGTTGACAAAATATAATGACAAAACTATGAAGAGCTGGGAGTAAAATTTGGGACTTTTCCTACAGAAAAGTGTGTACACATCCTTTTCTGTCAAATCTGAGCTGATTGTTTGGAGATTTGGTGTGGAATGACCCTTTAGTGAACAATAAAATCACAGAGGTTTCTTTTAAAATCATACATTTGATCTATCCAACAAATTCATTTATGGAAAAAATATATAAGAAACCTAAATGTGACCCGTGTATATTTTGTAATACAGAGAATGAATCAGTTTAACATTGTTTTTATGATTGTATAAAGGAAATGTTATTTTTTGTGTGTGAAATTTTAAACTTTTAAAAAATTGTGTGTAGTGTGGGAATTAAGCTCAGGAAAAGGGATATTTTATTTTATTTTTATTATTTTAAATATTGTATTCATTGCTGTAAGTGGAATAATACCAGTCCTCATATCCTTCAATTCAAATGCAATCAAAAATATTATTTTAAATCATTAGAAAGATAAACAATCTAATTACATGTTATTAATTATTAATCCGAGTCAGTGAATTACTCTTATGTGTTTATCTCTGTGCGTCTTGTTCATCTGTTTTTGTATGTGTGGGTTTTTTCGGAAGGTTCCATGCGTGTCCTAAAAAGAAGCACGAGAGATCCGAGAGAACAGGCCACTTTATTTCGTCATTTTCCATTGAGAGGATTCAAGTTGATTACCATGTACAACTGTCACCCCTGAACAATGCCTCAATGACCAACTCAAAATCAGGGGTAACTTTATACTACATCTTGACAAAACATTAACTTGTTGAGTTAGCATATACAGCAAGAAAATGAACAATACTGCTGACCCAGTGCACCTTATCATGGGTGGGAACATGCCACGGGGACACATATGTCAGTTTTGCTGCTTCATGGCATCTCAAAGTCCAAAAAAACAAGTTCTTTATGACACTCCAGTACAGAAATACATGTTATGTAGACCTATAGATAATCACACGTGTTTTTCCACCCATGTCATTCTAAAGTCCATAATGTTAGGTGAATTTAGCATGATCAACACATAATTTCCCACATATGTAAATATTATGTTTGTATATATGCAAAATTGTAATGGGAAAAAAGAGAGAGAAAGAAATTTGTTAATTATATAACTATAGTAAAATAAGTAGAGTTTATACATTTTTTTTTAATCATTTTCCTCTTTAACTGCTCCTGTTTTATTACGTTTTTGCAAAAATTGCTCATTGTTATAATTGTTATTTCATCACAGAAATACAGATAAATGAATAGGCAGGATATGGGAGAAGGTTCCGTATACAGACTTTCTCCACTGGACACTGAGATAAACTGGATCGTTTTGTCCAGTTCAGAAAGTTTCCTCGGTGCGCCTGTAGATGGCAGCAGTGTAACAGTGAAACCTGCCTGAAGCTCCGCTCGCAGCTCTAGAGCACAACACTACTTTTATAAAGAGCTACGTTATGATGAGAGGATGAAGGAGACACACAGTTTAAAGTTAGTACTGTTAAATGTGAACCAAAACTTTAAAATCGGGATGAAGTGACGCTGTTGTAGGCGGAGATAAGAGATAAGACTCGAAACAGGAAGTTCGTCAATAAAACTCACTCACTCGGAGTCGTATTTATTGAGGTGAGTGTTTATTCACGTGTTGGTTCACGGGTTATTTGTAAAGAAATAGTACATATATATTATATATGTAAACGCGTTAGGCGGTGATTTCAGCGCGAGACTCGTGACAGCAGCAGAAAATGAAAGTGAAACAAACTGAAAGCAAAACCCAGAGCGTAATGATCCGTTGTTTTTTAGTCCCACAAGACACAACATTTCTGTGGATATGGGCAAGGCACGATGGGAGATAGACCATGATTCATCCAAAACAAAACCAAACCAAACCAAACACCCTTACATACAAACATACTCTTGCTTAATTCTAACCTACAAATATAGCCTGACCTGACATGGTCTCTAAATCATTTTCAAATGCAGTGTTTACCAATTTATAAAATACGACGCTGTTTTTAATCCAATGTATGTTGCAGCTTTACACTATAATTTCATTTATAATTTCACAAAATAGGCCAGTTTTGAATGCAAGTATTCAGTATTCTGTAACGTAATACATTTTAATACAAGTATTCTTCCCATCATTGGAGAGTACTGCACTTCACCTGGTGTTCTGTGTACTTTTCCCTGTCCTGTAGATGATTTCACTTCAAACTGCCGAGGGACTGAAGATGGGAATTAGCCACTCTGCTTTATCCTTACATATTTACAGTGTTGGGAGGGTGACTTTTAAAATGTAATCCCCTACAGATTACAGATTACACACACCAAAATATAGTTTGTAACGTAATCCATTAAATTACTTAAAGTGAGTAATGTAATCTGAGTACTTTAGACCTGGTTTTAGACCTGGTTTAGATCTGGTTTTAGACCTGGTTTAGACCTGGTTTAGACCTGGTTTTAGACCTGGTTTGGACCAGGTTTAGATCTGGTTTAGATCTGGTTTTAGACCTGGTTTAGACCTGGTTTAATGTCCGGCAATGAGTGGAATTACCAAAAAAAAAAAAAGGGATATAGCCTAAAATATCCATCCATCCATCCATTTTCGTCCGCTTATCCGGGGCTGGGTCGCGGGGGCAGCAGCCTAAGCAGGGACTCCCAGACTTCCTTCACCCCAGACACGTCCTCCAGCTCCTCCGGGGGGACCCCGAGGCGTTCCCAGGCCAGCCGAGAGACATAGTCCCTCCAGCGTGTCCTGGGTCTTCCCCGGGGCCTCCTCCCGGCGGGACATGCCCGGAACACCTCCCGAGGGAGGCGTCCAGGAGGCATCCGGAACAGATGCCTGAGCCACCTCAACTGGCTCCTCTCGACGTGGAGGAGCAGTGGCTCTACTCCGAGCTCCTCCCGTGTGACTGAGCTCCTCACCCTATCTCTAAGGGAGCACCCAGCCACCCTGCGGAGGAAACTCATTTCGAGCGCTTGTATCCGCGATCTCGTCCTTTCGGTCACTACCCAGAGCTCATGACCATAGGTGAGAGTAGGAACGAAGACTGACCTAAAATATTAAAACAGCAAAATACCTGTGAGTAATTTATTTATTTCAACCAAGTAACTGTAATGTAATTACCACTCACTGAAACAGTAACTGTAACTGAATACAGTTACTCATAATTTGTACTCTGATTACATAACTCTGGTACATGTAATCTGTTCCTCCCCAACACTGCATATTTACAAGTTAAATGTTCATGAATTGTGCTGTCCCTTTACAAATAAATAAATAAATAAATAAATAAATAAATAAGGCTACAGTAATGACACATCTGAACACAACAGAGGTTTTCACACTGTAGGAACCTTCCTACCTCTGTGTGTGTGTGTGTGTGTGTGTGTGTGTGTGTGTGTGTGTGTGTGTGTGTGTGTGTGTGTGTGTGTGTGTGTGTGTGTGTGTGTGTGTGTGTGTGTGTGTGTGTGTGTGTTAGGGCTGTATGTCCTTCAGTCGATTTTACTGGTCAGTGGAGTTTTGGTCGACCAAAATGTATCAACTACTTATTTTATTTTGGGACAACATCAGAAAGTGAGTGAGCGACTGAATTATCTGAAGATTTGATATTTGTTTTGTATTTCTATGTAAAAAAGCAGATTACAGATTAGATTTATGATGAAGTTTAATCTGTTTTTATACACATACACTGTTTCATAATAGTAGTAGTAGTAACAGTAGTAGTAGTAGTAGTAGTCGTAGTAGTAGTAGTAACAGCAGTAGTAGTCGTAGTAACAGGAGTAGTAGTAGTAACAGTAGTAGGAGTAGTAGTAGCAGTAGTAGTTGTAGTAGTAATAGTAGTAAGAGTAGTAGTTGTAGTAGTAGTAGTTGTAGTAGTAACAGTAGTAGTAGTAGTAGTAGTAGTAGTAGTAGTAGTAGTAGTAGTAGTAGTAGTAGTAGTAGTATTTCTGTGTGGAGTTTGCATGTTCTCGTTGTGCAGGTTTCCTCCAGGTTTTCCGGTTTCTTTACCTCTTGAAAACTTGTCCACAAGAATCCTCCTGTGGGGCCAGGACTCCCTGAGAAACAGATTGTTAATCCCAAAATAAACAAATGGTATTTTTTTCTGCATAAATAGTTGTTTTTGCATGAACTCCCCCTTCAGGTGTCGTCCTGTCAGTGCAGTTTGGGTCAGAGACATAAAGACATGTGATCGTTTTCAGAGCTTTTCACAAGTTTTATCTTTAGTCAAACCAAGAATTTCTATAGTCACATACAGTCCTCCTGTTTTCTTGGTCTTAATGTGGCTTTTGTGTTTCAGACTCTCTTAAATATGGAGTCTGGTGAAGTGAATCCGACGAGGAAGCTTCTAGAAGATCACAGTACATCACAGTAAGTAACAAGAGAATCTGCACATCCAAAACTTCACTGAATATAAAAAAGACCAAAAAGTGAGTAAAGTGCAATTGTTCTTTATTCACATGGCTGAGGTTCAGAGATCTCTCCACCCTGAATGACCATTACCTGAAATGTTCCACAGTATGGCATTAAAGGAGATATACTGTGTTTGTGTCTGCTATATAGTTCATCTATGACACCCGTGGATATAACCCCTGTATAATACCTGTTATAATTTGCACAATTTAAAACACAATATTCATCAATGCACAGACTGTATATAAACAGACGCAGCTAACCCACTTGCCGCTGTGTTCCAAACAGGAAGTGCCTAACTTTCCTTTGAATCTGTTTCCAATTGACTTCACATTGAAAATTGTCACCCCTCTGTAACTGCTGCAGCTAGTCTCATCATCCATCCATCCATTTTGATCCTGGTGTTTTTATTTCACTATGAATAAATTCCTATTCCTAATATGGAACTTGGTTCCAAATGCGTCCCTATAGCCTCCAGAGAAGTGGACAGTCCATGATCTCCAATGCCCAAGCTGTACGTGCATGTGAGCTTGCATACGTCTAGTGCAGATCTGGGCATTGTACAGCTCCCAGGCCTCATACAGCCCTTTGATTGACTCTAACTGGCCCGTTTAAGATAATCTGGAATTACAAAATAAATTTTGTTAATAATAATAATTTTTTTAATCATTTTTACCTTATGCATAGATAAAGCTGCATTGTTTTTTATTTTAGAGGTGTTTTTTTAATGACATTTTTGTAAGGCAGCCTCACTTTTTCATTGCTTAGTCAGAACATAAACTCTTATCCGTCTGAGCAGCTCATCAAAACAATATTTACTGCTTTTTGTACTTATTGTACAAAAAGCCCCCCCCCCCCCCCCCCACCCCACCACACACACACACACACACACAATATTTTCTGTTTCTTATGTGGCCCCATTGAAAAAAAAAAAAAAAAATGCCCACCCCTGATCTAGTGCCTCTCAACCTCTTGCTAAAGCTCACAAGCTCAGTGTCAGTCATTGTGTCAATATGCAAAATTTATGAAGAAAACAGATTTGGTTCTTTTAAAAAAATGAGATGTGGTTCCAACAGTTCATGTTTAATGTCACATCACTAGTCTCAAGTTTACAAAATAAAAGCACTGACAAAGAAAGAGAAACACACAACAGCCACATGAATGCAGTGTGTGTTGTGCTTTAGTAAATTAATCTGTCAGTAGTTCGTAATTACATCTTCTAGAGATAAACTTTTGCTGCAACTGCTAATCGCTCTCTTGATGGCATCTGCTGTCGGCTTCAGAACCTGGTTGTTGCATCTGGTGTAACGGCCTTGGTTGAACGCTGTTGGGAAGTAACTCAGGATATACTCCAAAGTTTCCCTTGTGTGGCACAGTTGGCAGGTTGGAGTGTCCAGATAAACAGTTCTGCACGGCTGGAAAGGACGTCATACACTGCCTGAATCAGGAGAGCAATGTGGTGTGGCTTGCTTTGCCAGAGCTCCGTCCAGGTGACCTTATGCTCCATGGTCTGTTCTCACCTGGCTCAGGCCTACTACTGTCCCAGTCCAGCAGCTCTGCTGAACCTCTTTTCCTTCGTTGTAGGCCTGACCTGCTTCTGTATGAGCTTGCGCTTCTCTTTCCCCTTGCACTCTTTGTACCAAGGTGGAGTGGGAACATTCTCAAGTTCGCCCTGCCACTGGCAACCAGTCCCATCAGCTCTTTGTACAGCTTAACCATCTTAACCACTTGGACACTCCACTTCCTACTGGTCTTCACCACATCTCTGTTCATCAGCAGCTTGTCACCTTGAACTCCTCCTCTAGCCTTTTCAAGGGCAAATGGAGCTTGTGGTGTTGTGTTAGATGGTCTTACATTTTGGTCAAGTAAGACTCTATTCTGTCTACTTATTATTTTAAGGATTTATATGGGACAGCAGAAAGGAAAGAGTATGGAGTGAGCTAGCTGGAGATTTGGGACTGAGTCATGAGTTTAATCTGACCTTTGCATTTGAATATATAATCAAATCAATATTTTATTTAATAAATAGTTTTGCATGAACCCTTGTTCTGTTGTAGTCTTTTGAGTGCAGATTTAAGATTTGTAAGAGCTTTTGCCACACCACCTTCTCAGTCAACTGATCGATGTACAGGTCATGTCTTTAGTGGACTATAGCCCTAGATTCTAGGGCTATAGTCCACTAAAGACATGACCTGTACATAAACAGCATATTCTAGGGCCTAGAATATGTTGTTTATGTGGTGTATGTAAGTCGTGTACATGTGTGCACATGTGTGTACATGCAGTGAACGGAGGAATACATAATAAAATGCATTGAGTAGCATACTGAATACCCAAAATAAAATTTATTCTGTAATGTAATCTCTTACATGGTCCAATTAAAGTACTGTATTCTGAATAGTTTTACTCAGAATTGCATTTACATACAATAACATACGATTAAAAACAACTTCATGTTTGTTTCAGCGTTTATTATATATGTATGTAAAAAATAGACAGCATTGCATATGTAATGCTGTCTATTTTTTTCTCACTGATTCTCTGCAGTTTGAATCTTACATTGTGTGGTCAAATAGTGCCATGTCTTCCTTTCATTTTATGAAAGTAAGTGTATGGTGAATACGACCAAATGAAAATGTGGAATACAGGTCCTCAAAATTCATTTTCAGAATATGTATTCCCTGTACATGTATTCAGTTACTTCCCAACACTGTGTTGTTGTGTATATGTTGGTTATATGTTGGTTATATGTTGTTTTCCACAGACAGAGTGCAGAGCGTCCAGTCTCCAGCTGTTTGTCAGTGAAGAGTGACTGGTCCATGGAAAGACCTCCAGAGTTTAGAACTGAACCTCCTCCAAACACTTTGTAAGTTTGGGACTTTTCTTAGACCATGTAGCCTGTCTAAACCTTAGTTTAAGGTAAAAAGAGTATTTGCTTCATGAGCGGAATTTAGGTCAGTGTGAACTCAACAACCACATTCAGCTCTCTCTCTCTCTCTCTCTCTCTCTCTCTCTCTCTCTCTCTCTCTCTCTCTCTCTCTCTCTCTCTCTCTCTCTCTCTCTCTCTCTCTCTCTCTCTCTGGAGTGACTCCTCTCTCTCTGGAGTCTCTCTCTCTCTCTCTCTCTCTCTCTCTCTGAGTGTCTCTCTCTCTCTGGAGTGACTCTCTCTCTCTCTGGAGTCTCTCTCTCTGGAGTGACCCTCTCTCTCTGGACTCTCTCTCTGGAGTGACTCTCTTCTCTCTCTCTCTCTCTGGAGTGACTCTTCTCTCTCTCTCTCTCTGGAGTGACTCTTCTCTCTCTCTCTCTCTGGAGTGACTCCTCTCTCTCTGGAGTGACTCCTCTCTCTCTGGAGTGACTCTTCTCTCTCTCTCTCTCTGAAGTGACTCCTCTCTCTCTGGAGTGACTCTTCTCTCTCTCTCTCTCTGAAGTGACTCCTCTCTCTCTGGAGTGACTCCTCTCTCTCTGAAGTGACTCCTCTCTCTCTGGAGTTGCCTCTGCAACTGCACAGGCTGCAGCACGCTTGGCCCGTTGGTACCCATCAGCTGCCTCAGGAGTCCCACGAGCGAACAAGGCCCGATAGGACTCCTTCTTCAGCTTGACGGCATCCCTTACTTCCGGTGTCCACCACCGGGTTCAAGGATTGCCGCCGCGACAGGCACCACAGACCTAACGCCCACAGCTCCGAGCAGCCACATTGACAATGGAGGTGGAGAACAGAGCCCACTCGGACTCCATATCTCCAGCCTCTCCTGGAATCCGGGAGAAGTCCTCCTGGAGGTGAGAGTTGAAGGTCCCTCTGACAGAGGCTCCACCAGACGTTCCCAACAGACCCTCACTACACGCTTGGGCCTGCCAGGTCTTTCCGGCTTCCTCCTCCGCCAGCGAACCCAACTCACAACCAGGTGGTGATCAGTTGACAGCTCAGCCCCTCTCTTCACCCGAGTGTCCAAGACACGCAGCCGGAGATCAGATGACACGACGACAAAGTCGATCATCGACCTCCGGCCTAGGGTGTCCTGGTGCCACGTGCACTTATGGACACCCTTGTGCTCGAACATGGTGTTTGTTATGGACAAACTGTGATTATCACAGAAGTCCAATAACAAAACACTGCTCGGGTTCAGATCAGGGAGAACGTTCCTCCCAATCACCGCTCTCCAAGTGTCACTGTCATTGCCCACGTGGGCGTTGAAGTCCCCCAGGAGAACAACGCAGTCCCCGGTTGGTGCACTGTCTAGTACCCCTCCCAGGGACTCCAAGAAGGCCGGGTACTCTGCACTGCTGTTCGGCCCGTAGGCCGACACCACAGTGAGAGACCTGTCCCCGACCCGAAGGCGCAGGGACACGACCCTCTTGTTCACTGGGGTGAACTCCAACACACGGCAGCTGAGCTGTGCCCGGCCGGGCCCCGTGGGGGCCACCAGATGACGCCGTCGTGCTCCTACCCCAGGCCTGGCTCCAGGGTGGGGCCCCGGTAACGCCATTCCAGGCAACATAACTGGCCTCTGTGTTGCACTCATCATAAGGGGCTTCTGAACCGTTCTTCGTCTGACCCGTCCCCCAGGACCTGTTTGCCTTGGGTGACCCTACCAGGGGCATGAAGCCCCCGACAACATAGCTCCCGGGATCATTCGGGCACTCAAACCCCTCCACCACGATAAGGTGACGGTTCAAGGAGGGGCCAATGCTAGTCATGTCCATTCAAACACTGTAAGTCTTTATTTATACAGCGCTTTTCACAGACATTTTTTGGTCACAAAGACGCTTTACAGAACATTACATTCAGCATTATCAATTCACTCTATTCCTGGTGATGGTAAGCTACTGTTGTGGCCACAGCTGCCCTGGGGCAGACTGACAGAAGCGCACTGTCATGCCAATCGGCGCCAACAGTCCCACCGACCACCACCATCACTTACACACAGTGTGGGTGAAGTGTCTAGCCACTAGCACCAGTGCTAATTTCCACCTGTCAGCTTCATTGATTGTATTTAACTGACCTTGACTATCAACTGTTCATGGAGACCTGTAGCATGTTTTGGTTTGATGGGGGAAACCGGAGCACCTGGAGGAAACCCATCCAGACACAGGGAGAAACATGAACACACAGAAAGGCCCGGGTGACCCGGGAGCCTTCTTGCTGTGAGGCATGAGTGCTAGTGCTAGTGCTCAGCCACCGTGCTGCCACTGTCAAGGTAATACAACAAACTGAATCAAAACAACAAACTGCAAACTTGAAACATAAATTTATTCATGATATTAAACTATACTCGCCATTCATTTCAAAGACTTCACTCATATGTTTTGTAATATCTGAGTTTATTCTCAAAATATTGTATATTTTTACAGATAATGCTAAAAAAGAGACCACTTTAACCTAATGCAATACCATAATTATGAAAACAATACACTATGTATGGAATAATTCAGGGAGAATGCAGTAGTATGCTTACTATATGAACTGTTTTCCTTCCGTTACCTTTGCCGGTAAAGGAGGGATAAAATAGGATAATTAATAAAAAATAAAAAAAAACTGAATTCATTAGATTGCTGCAGGAAATGCTTAGTAGTATTAATATCCTTGCTTTTAGAAAGTTTCATGATGAAATATAAAGTTTAACACATAAAACCAAACCTTAAAAAAACATAATTTTCGGTAATGGAAGGAAAAGTAACAGAGGGAAAATTTCAATTTTTTTAGACTTGTAAAACACAGGTTTTACCAGATACTAACACCTAATAGTTCTAATTTTCATAAGTATACTACCTAGAGATATAGATTAGTCAAAGATGAAGCTTGAAAGTCAACCTGAAGAGGATTTGCAGGTCTTTGAAATTTGGGAAGTAATTCTTGTTCAAGGCCTAAAAATTGCACGTGACATGGTCTGTTTAAAACCTATGGAACTTTAGAACCAAAAATGGTACAGAAAACAGGTCAACAGTTTCATAAACTACAGTACATATGTATCTGTTCAATACATTTTTATATCAGATGTATTAACTTGAATTTTTGGCCTTGCTGTTTACTTCTGCTTGACCTGGTCCAAACTTTGTTTTCCACAGACAGAGTGCAGAGTCTCCAGTCTCCAGCTGTTTGTCAGTGAAGAGCGACTGGTCCATGGAAAGACCTCCAGAGTTTAGAGCTGAACCTCCTCCAAACACTTTGTAAGTTTGGGACTTTTCTTAGACCATGTAGCCTGTCTAAACCTTAGTTTAAGGTAAAAAGAGTATTTGCTTCATGAGCGGAATTTAGGTCAGTGTGAACTCTCATTCAGCTCTCTCATCTCTCTCTCTCTCTCTCTCTCTCTCTCTCTCTCTCTCTCTCTCTCTCTCTCTCTCTCTCTCTCTCTCTCTCTCTCTCTCTCTCTCTCTCTCTCTCTCTCTCTCTCTCTCTCTCTCTCTCTCTCTCTCTCTCTCTCTCTCTCTCTCTCTCTCTGGAGTGGCTCCTCTCTCTGTCTCTCTCTCTCTCTCTCTCTCTCTTTCTGGAGCAGGGTGAGTGCGCTGCTGTTGCCATGTTTAATTGATGATTATTTTGGATCAACATCCAGAGATGTTCCTGGTGTAAGTTTGTTTCCCACTTCACTCCGCAGTCTATTCCATCTCTCTGGTCAGCTGATTGTCAGCTGATTGTCAGCTGATTGCTGATTAGAGGGATTAAAGATGTGCACGTCCTTTCATAAAATGATCTCTGGACATACATTTGACAGCTGATCCTCGGAGGAGCATGCGACCAAAAGACAATCAATGTCACGCTGTGGTCACACGCTGCACACATCACATATTACAATAACAAAGAGTAAAACATATAAAAAATTGCAATAAAAACTTCTAAATAAGTAGATATAAAATTATATAAAAAATAGCAAGCGACCGGTGTCAAATAAGGCATAATTATATAAATGTACAGTGTATGTACAAGTAACGTAAAAAAAAAAAAAAAAAAAAGAAATATTGTAATATACGTAAATACAGTATATCAGTTATTTCCAAGGTCATAAGGAAAATTGTGCAAATATGACATGAACATAGGCTTATCTGTGACATAAGGGTGAGTTGTACAGTTGAATGGAGTATGGTATGAATGTATCTGTATCACTCACTGTTTGAGCGGAGCTGCAGGAGCCTGTTGGAGAATGATCTTCTCTGTCTCTCTATAGTCTGGTGCAGTGGGTGAGCAGGAGTGTCCATGATGGAGAGTAGTTTGTCCAGTGTCCTCGTGTCCCTCACAGTGACAAATGTCTCCAGCTCACAGTTGATCACGTGAGCAGCTTCACGGATCAGTTTGTCAATCTGCCCAGTGTCCCTTTTACTGGAGCTGCTCCCCCAGCAGACCACAGCTAAATACAGAACACTGGCCTCCACAGACTGGGAGAAGATCTCCAGTAACTCTAGCTGAAAGACCTGAGCTTTCTCAGGAAGTAGAGTCTCCTCATGCTCTTCTTGTGCACAGCATTACTGTTCCCTCTAGTCCAGCCTTTTCACCTGGACACCAAGGTACTTGTATCAGTCACTATTTCCACATCATGGCCCTGGATGGTGATGGGTTCCACTGGTGTCCTCTTCCTCCTGAAGTCAATCACCAGTTCTTTGGTCTTGTCCACGTTCGGAAGCAGATGGCTTGACTGGGACCACTCCACAAAGTTTGCAATCAGTGTCCTGTTGTCCGGCTCCTGTCCATCTTTGATACACCCAACCACTGCAGAATCATTAGAGAACATCTGCAGAAAGGACTTCACACTGGGGGGCTGTTACATTTCTGACCAAAGTATCAGACAGGGTGGTTCCCAGTCGCACGTACTGAGGCCTGCCTGACAGGTAGTCAATAATCCAGGTGCTAATGGAGGAGCTGACACCCATCTTGAGCAACTTCTCACTCATCAGAAAGGGCTGGATTGTGTTAAAAGTACTGAAGAAATAAAAAAAACAATGTCCTCACAGAGCCCTTAAACACTGTCCAGATGTGAATGTACCTGGTGTAAAATCATCCACAGCAAAGTGGCACTGATAGGCAAACTGAGGATCCAGGGGCCACCAAAGGTCTGAGATGAGCAGGTCTCTCAAACACTTTCATGACAGTGAAATGTCAATGAAACTGGTCTGAAGTCATGAAGTCCAGATGGAATAGGCTTTCCACAGGAGATCTTCCATAGAACCAGTATCCTGGTAAGCTTCAGACTGAGGGTGAAGAGAAAGTGCAGGGTTCCAATGAGCTGTGCTGCGCATGTCCTCAGCACACAGGGGTTGAGTTGGTTGTTTGTTTTGATTAGATTTTTTAGATTTTTGACTTGTTTTGATTAAATTTCTCCAGCTGTCTTCTCACCTGTGCAGGAGACAAAGGGCCTGTCCACTCAACAACGTTTTTTTGGTGGAAAAGGTGATGTTTGTATTCGTTTTGGTCTTTTGTCCACACGGAGCCAGCATTTTGGGTGAGCGAAAACTGAGTTTTTTGAGAGTTTTTTCAGAGTGGAGAAATCTGAGAAAATCGGTGCTACATTGTCATAGGGACAAGCAAACCGCAGCTTTTGGAAAACGATGATATCACAACCCCATCATCTCCAGGGTCCTCAGATGCAGCGAAGCCTGCAGCCCGAACTAGAACTAGCCTCCACAGAACGCAAGACTGTTACCGAAATGGGATAGGTGTAGCTTACGGCGCAGCTCCCGTCACCCAGCAACCGAGACACGCTGCTAGCACTAATGCTAACAACAGAATACGCACATGGATCAATAACAAAGAATACGCACGAGTAATTAAACTGTTGGATTTTGAGACCAAGTTATTCTAACAATTCTCATCCAAAACTTATGGCTAAAACCGAAAACTTTTGCAAAACAAAACGCCGATATTTCTGGGATACATTTAAAATAGGCTAAATTACCTTAAAGTAAAAAAAAAAAAAAAAACGTGATGAGATTTGCATTATTAAATATTATTGTCATTGTTAATAGAGCCACATACCAGTGTGGCACATGTATTACATCGTCTGGACGTGAATATTTCTTGATCCGACAAGTGTGTCAACGTGAATATTTTTCTGCCCGTAAAAGAAAAAATCCAGGAGTGTTGTCGTGTGGACGTAGCCAAAGACACTGGGCTGGGTTCCTCTGTGGGGGTGGGGGGAGGTGTGGGAGCAGAGGTGATGGGTGATGAATGGCCTTCTGAGTGGTGTGCAATGAGATGTCGACTGGGCGTCTGGGAGGTGTAAAAATGGGGGTGCCAGGGGATAAAAAAACTATTAAAATGCAAATTGAGTAGATTTGACTTGTCTGGGCTATTGTCCTGCTGCTTTGTTTTGGTGTTGAAACCTGTGATGGCCTTCAACCCTTTCCACACGTCTAGGTGTTGTTTTGATGTAGTTTTGCCTTCAACATCTTCCTGATATGGGTTTTGCTGAGTTCCTGAGTTTTGCCTCCAACTTTCAAACCTGATATGAGAATTAAACAACCTCTACACACTCTGAGTGAATCACGCTCTTTATAAGCACTCCAAAACATCAGTCATTTCAATAAAACATGTATTTCTAAATGATTAGATGATAGGAAAAAATCTGTGTGTAAAAATGTTGTTTCAGAGGCGCAGAGTTCACTTTTTCTCTAAAGTTCCATGAGCCAGTGTCCTCTGCTACTGTATCTCCTCCTGAGCCCCTCCATTTTACCCCTGTGTGTCTATCAAACCCTGCTCATTATCAGCTCATGTAAAACTAAGCATGAGCGCAGCCGCCGAGCCAATCACCTCTGCTGATGGGCTTTATGTAATAAATACACTAAAGTCACTCCGGTCCATTGTTCCATGTGGCTCATGGTGTTTGTGGTGAATGATGCAGGGTGCATGTGACCCAAAAGTAAAGTTAACAGACTTAAATCTAGTGATTGTACGGTGTCTCGGATGTTGTGTATATGTTGTTTTTATGTTGTCTTGTTTTCCACAGACAGAGTGCAGAGCGTCCAGTCTCCAGCTGTTTGTCAGTGAAGAGCGACTGGTCCATGGAAAGACCTCCAGAGTTTAGAGCTGAACCTCCTCCAAACACTTTGTATGTCTGGGACTTCTTCTAAAATGTGTCACTTAATATTACATGTTGCTGTTGTTATTGTTGAATTTTCTGTATCTTACTTTATTAGAACAGAGTCTGCAGGTCTCAGCTGTTTGTCAGTGAAGAGCGACAGCTCCATGGAAAGACCTCCAGAGTTTAGAGCCGAATCTCCTCTAAACACATTGTATGTTTGGGACTTTTCTAAAAGCAGTGGCTTTACACCCCAGGTTGTTTTTTTATTATTATTCTTTTCTTTTCTGTATGTTACTTTATTAGAACAGTGTCTCCAGATCCCAGACATTTGTCACTGAAGAGAGATGGATCCAAGATGAGTCCTGCAGACTTAAGTTGTGAACCTGCACCGTCAGAAACTACGTAAGGCTTTTTCAATGGGTTCAGTTGTTATGTTACTTATAATTCAAATACAGTTGTCAACTTTTGTAGCAGCTCATATCTTGGGTGTGTCAGAGGTTGTTGTAAACCTAAAAAAAGTGTTTCTTTCTGTTTCTGTGTTACA